CACTCACACCGAGGACCTATCCACGTCATCATTTACCCAGAATGCTTTGTGTGTGAATAAAATGGCTCCGTCTGTGTTGTATATTTTTAAACTTTTAGTTTAAAAATGCTAAAAACTAAACAGCCTACAGTATTTTACAGTCTTTATTTTACAGTTAAAATATGTTTATCAAATAAAGTCTAATGTTACAACTAATCGTGGATCCCTTTAAGGGGTGATGGTGGGCCCTGAAGCCAGACTGGTTGAGAACCACCTTATTTTGTTGCCCACACTGTATCCGCCTCAGCCAGCTTCATAGCCACTGTGAAGCCAAAGCAGGATGCAGCTTCGTCCTCCGTGTTAACAGCAGAGGAGGTGGCATCATTTCCCCATGACTTTATGTAAATGTGCAAATTAAAACGAAGCAAATCTAGGTGAGTGGTTGAGGAAATAGGCATTTATTTTACCCGAGTGAATCTGCATTCTCAGCTAGAAATGTAAGGAAAAAGTTAATATTGTCACTGTTTGACCTTTACAAGTATGTCGTTTTCTTGTGCCGAGGTTTAAGCAGGTCACTGAAAACTGACAGGTTTGTATTTGAACTCTCTCAGTTCGTCTGTAACTTGGCTTGAGTTGTAACATGTCGTGTTGCCTTTAAGTTCACCTTATTTAACGCAGAGCTCTTCAACTCTGTCCTGCATGTTTTAAATGTTTGCCTGCTTCAGCTCCTGACTGAAAAGATTGTGATTGACAGGCTTCTGTYAAACCTGATGACATTCTGAGTGGGTCATTTAATTATTTGAATCAGGTGTGTTGAAGCAGGGAAACAGCTAAAACATGCAGGACTGTGGGTCATGAGCTGGAATGAAGACCTCTGATTTCATGTGTTTCTTCTGTGGCAAAAACATTTTTTTCTTTTGATGCATGCTAGTTAAGTTATTCTCATTTAATTTAAATTTTCTAAAATATTTAACTGAACACAGTCATTACTCTTTACTGAGGAGCTGAGGCAAGTGGTGTTTATTGTTTTGGTTGTAAAAATTGTTTATTGGTTCTACTTTTGACATCAGATTTAAACCGTTAAATATAGACTTTGAGAATCTCTGGCCTATTAAACTTCATTTTTATTTAAGTAATAAAGTAATTTTTATCAAACGCACAGTAACAGGATTGATGTATCGATATGTTCAACATCTCTGCAGTGGCTGCAGTTGAATGTGTTTCTATCTGTATTTTAAACTGTCAGGATCCGGGTTCTTGTTGTCTTTTGGTTGTTCTGGATTTGGGATCTTTTGTTGTTCCTGTGTTTATTTTCACTCCCCTGTGCCCCATGTGTCAGTCAGTGTTGTCTTTGTGTCATTCCTGCTCCTCTCAGTTGCTCCAGACGGTCCCGCCCTCTTGTATTTGTCTACTCACCAAGTGTGTTCATTAGGTTTCCTTTTATGTTGCATGTCTTTCTGTTTGCAAAACATAAACTTGAATTCTTTGTCTTGTTTTTGTACAAAAATACTACAAAAGTTCAGATAAAGAGAACTAAATATTCATCTTTTCTTACATATGGAAGCTTTTGTATGATTATTTTTAAGTTGTAAACAGTGAATAAGCTGTAGGGTAATGAGATTAACGGTGTCTGAGAATTTATTTTTATGAACTCAGTTCTGTGTAATCTCCTTACGGTGCTGTTTAAAAATGTTCATAAGGTTTATTAAAGGGTTGAACTGGGGTGACGATTTAGATTAATCACTTCTCTGAATAATACAGCTTCCAGTAAATAAATAAATCAAACTTTTTAGCTTCAGTCACTCAATTTCCAAAAACTCACACTAACAACTGTTTATTGATTCAGTGTGTGAGAGTGGTTTTTGTTACCTTTTGAGTTATTTTCTGGTGTGTGCACCCTGTCTGGACTGTAGTTCTTATTGAGACCAGAGTTCAGTACTAATACAAGGGAAGATCCCTTTTGGGTTTAGTGACCTAAGTTAAAGATCAGGGTCAGACTGCAGGAATGAATCAAAATCAAAAAATATCCTAACATGGGTAGAAACAAAAACTTGTGTGCATTTGTTTTAAAATCTGTGGCTCCATGTGATGGTAAAAAAAACAATAAGCCTCTTAGGTCTAATCCTGCTCTATTGGGAAGGGAGTGTCTCACACACGACTAAGCATGCACACACACACACACACACACACACACACACACACATTCAGCGCCAACAAGACTGAATCCAACCACCCAAAAACATTTGGAGAAACTAATACAAAGTTTGATTGCTTGGGAAACATTTGTTGCAGCTGCTGAGAGTCAGCAAGTGTGTGTATTTGTGTATGTGTGGTAGTAGCTGCGWGTCATCCACGACACATACTTTGAGCAGTATCTGATCATGCAAGATTTTTTTTTCTTCTTTTTTCCCCCTGAAAACGTTTGAAGTGTGCACCAAAGTACTCGTAAGGCTTTTGTCCTTCCATAAAGTTTTTTTTTCAAGTTTATTATACAGCACGGTGACATTTCTGAGAGATGCAGCTTTACAACAATTTACTTTGACATCAGTAAATGAAATATGTCACTTTTGATTATCTGTTTGTTTGTTTTAGATTATCTTTGTTCGCCAGAAGAAAACGTCCACATGATCGACTTCACCCGGTTTAAAATCCGTGACATGGAGACGGGGACAGTCCTGTTTGAGATCACCAAACCTCCAGCACCAGGTCCAACCCAAAGCTCACAGACGAGCTCCTTTTTTAATGAAATTATAAATAAATAGCTTAGAAAACAGATAAAATATCATGTAATTCTACTTATGGTAAGCTTTACATTGTCTTACTCACTGGAACTAAATGTATTAAATGTATTTTTTATGTTTTATTGTTGTTAGCAGGAGGTCTAAAACACTGCGACCCCACCGCCGGGCGTTTCGTCCGATACCAGTTTAGCCCAGCCTTCCTGCAGCTGCGGCAGGTCGGAGCCACGTAAGTCAGCGTGTGTTGCTTCTTTTCACCTGAAGGACACAGGAGACTGTGTGAGATCACTGTGGGATGTAGAGGGCCGGATGTAGGACGTGTACAGGCGTCTGTGTGAACACACACACACACACAGTACAGCCCAGTAAATGAGTCACACAGCAGAAACCTGTCAGAGCTTCTGTCCACCATCACACTCCTGCTCTGCGACTGACAGAGGGTCTGAAACACAACCGAGCAGCACAACAYGGATAATCACAAAGATCTGTCATCTTTTACAGCTATAGAGCTAAAAGTTTCTGCGGTAGTAGCTGAGAGTTTTTCCTAACACATTATTCGGAGCTAACAGCTGGTTTACACTCATTGAGAAGTGCCAATTTTTTTTTGTCTCGCTGACGTGGTTGTGTGACGAAAATTTGCTCTTTTTTTGTTCAAACTCACAAACACCAGTTCTGTGCACAACCGCCCCTGTCAGAGCTATCTCCTCACAGCCAAGGGTTGCATGATTGGTCAGAACTTTGTGACTGGTTTAGACGGAAAAGTGGTTGGAGTGCACAGCTCTCATTCAGATGGCAGAGGAAGTTGGAATAAAAGTGGCCTGAACTTATATAGCGCCCAAAAATCCCAAATCTACGGACATTCACCCATTCATACACACATTCACTCACTGAAGGTGGTCAGCTACATTGTGGCCATGGCTGCCAGAGGCAAGGCTGCCATACATCGCAGCCACTAGGTCCTCTGACCACAACCAGCAGGCAAGACGAGTGAAGAAGACCAGAGCCTGTTGTATGTATTTCAACAACAGACTACAGGCCTGTAGACAGGCATGTGAACTGATAAATGTCCCAAATCTTGGGTTTGGGAAAGCTCTGATCACCCTGACCAGGAAAAATTTAAGCACACTGGTTGGAGTTCTAACWGGGCACAATCTGCTTAACCGCCACAAAACGTTGATGGGACTCCATGACAGTGGTCTGTGTGATGCTTGTGGCGTTGAATTAGAGACCTATTTGCACTACTTAGGCCACTGCCTGGCTCTGAGCAGTCAAAGGGAAAAAATTCTTGGGGACCCCTTTATGGATCCTGAGAAGCTCAGAACACTGAGTGTTTCTAACCTGTCCTTCATCTGAGGGATGCAAAGGTTTGATTAAAGCTCAGTGTCTTTTTGGGAAGATTAATGAGTCCACTCACATGGCCCCCACTCATTTGGGTTCATTATCCATCCCCGCTAACCAAAGCAAAGGCGGGTAAAGTGTCTTGCCCAAGGACACAACATCTGAGACAGACGGAGTGGGGATTCAAACCAGCAACCCACCAGTTACAGGATGAACACCCACCTTCTGTCACCATATTCACCCCAAAAATAAAGCCATCTTTACAGTTGTTCCAGACAAAACCTATAAAGATGATCAAATAATTCTTTCAAAGATGGTCCATTGACTTGTTGAAGGAGACTGCACATTTTTTGTGCTTGAAGGAGACAGCGTGGAGACACAGGCGGCTCTCTGTGGCTGAGCTGGTCGAAGGGACTGCGCTTCAAACGGACAGCACTCTGTCAGAAACTGTTCCTGAGTTAACAACAGAAGCAGCAAATCTTTCTCCTCTAAGTCCTCATCATCAACTGAAAATAAAATTGTGAAGAATAAACCATGTTCAACACAACTCACGAGTTTACACAAAATGTGAGCWACAGGTTTTGACCAGAATGGCTATAATCATCATAAATAATTGTATTTTCTGCTTGTGTCGCTGCAGAGTGGAGTTCACGGTGGGAGACGCCCCCATCAACAACTTCCGCATGATTGAGAGGCACTACTTCCGCGACCAGCTGCTAAAGAGCTTCGATTTTGAGTTCGGCTTCTGTATGCCCAGCAGCAAGAACACGTGCGAGCACATTTACGAGTTCCCCACGCTGTCCGAGGACATCAGTGAGTGTCTCATCTCGAAAAAACAAACACATTCCTAACCCACAGGGGAGGATTAAAGGTTTTTATGCTCTTGTTTCCCAGTGCGCGAGATGATCCAACATCCCTACGAGACACAATCTGACAGCTTCTACTTTGTGGACAACAAGCTGGTGATGCACAACAAAGCAGATTATTCCTACAGTGGGGGGCCGTAGGAAGACCTTGTCTGCGCAGTTGAGGACATTTTTCACATGAAGTGATGAACTAATCACTGGCAATAACTCCTGTCCTCTCACTCCTCTCAGATCCACACATTTTCATTCAGGGACTCTGCTGCCTGGCCCAATCAGATTCCTCCGTTCGCCTCTTTTTCTTTGCAGGAACAGGAAATTCTGCCAGTTTCATCATCGGTTTGAACACGAGCGAGCGTGTGGGCAGCAAACACATGCGGCGTCTGTACATAATGTCGAGTACCACTTGATCATCAGGGGAGAATTGTTCATTTTATTTGTCTTAAAATGAAGAAAAAACGAGTTGAGAGGTTCAAACGTGCAGTGGAAGATAAAATGAGTTCATTTTTTAAAGCATTCTGAGTTAACAGAGCACAAAAAGAAAGGAAATTTGTATTTGGTCGATATTTTCTTTGATAAGATGATGTTTCTTGGCAATAAAGGCAAAATATTGGCAGATTTTGCGAAGATAAATTCTCAGCAAATGTTAAAGAGCTTTTTCTTCAATTAACTATTGTTTGTTCATTTTTATCTTATTTTATTTTTGGATTTAAGGATTAAAGTCAGAAGAMACAAGACATTTTGGCAATCAAGATTTCATTTATTGAATAAACAAGAGCTGTCATAGCACGTGGAAGAACCATACACAGCCACAAAAGCCAGGCTCCTCCTGCTCATTTGAACATTTATTATTAACAAGAAAATAAATCAACCAAACACAAAATTACTTACTTTTTGTGCTAAGTTTAAATTATATTTATAGTTTAGATAGGAGCATTTTTACTCTTAAATGTATAGAAATATAACACATCTCTGAAGAATTTAGCTGAATGAGTACTCTGTCCTTGTGAATGTTGTTTGTTTTTATCTTCGTGTACATCAGGAGTATTTTTTAATGAATAGCCTTTTCTTGAAGAGTCAGAAAACATGTTAGATAAAAGTCAGGAAACAGTTTTGATATCAGACACTTTACACTSTGTAAACTTTTAATTATGATAAATGTTTTAACTGTAAAATGGTGGGGAAAGAATGTAAAGTTTTGTCATAAATGACATCAATGCAATAAAAAATATTTTTTTGCAAACTCGTTATATGTTTGTTTACACATAGATAAAAAATATAAACATTCAGAAAGGATCRTTTATTGATAAATAGAAAGACAGTTTAGTGTTGTTGTTTTTTTGTTTTTATTATTTTGAATAAAATGAAATGTGTTAAAAATGATGACTTTAACAAATAACAAATAACTTTTTTGCTACTTTAATGATTCTCAGCACTTTAATGATACTCATGGTTTTCAGGTTTTGTGGTTAACATAAATACTAAAGTAATAATATAAAAAAGGCTTAAATTGAAAATGTTTCCTTTTATTCAACCATCAGTGTTCATTAATGTTTTTGCTGCCATCTTCTGTGACAATAGTCTTACTGCACAGTTGTCATGAGAACGACTGTCAAGTTTGTCAGAAAAACCTTATTTTTGGTCCTCAGTCCTAAACAACTGATGTCACTTCCCTGGGCAAAAAATATAAAATCTGATGTAAGAAAATTAAACAAAAGATAAGGTTTGTTTATAACGTGTATGCTGTAAATCATTTTCAGCATCCCTAAATGTGATTTAAACATTTAAATTGTGATTATAACCACTCTTGTGCAGTAAACACTGGTGTGTTTCTTTTTTAAATGAACTGATAAACTGATAAAATAATAATTTTAGAGGATAAAATAAAAAAGGACATTTTTCCATCAGAGAAAAAACAGTTTGTCAGACATCAATAAATAATCGCACAAATAAATTTATTAACAAACATTTCATCAAGAAAGGACAGGTTTTAAATGAACAAATTCTGTCRTGTTTTCTGTTATCACATTTGTGATTAGTGTTAAAATATCATGGTATAACAAAGAGCTAGCATCACATATTACAGCAGGGTACATCCATAGTACTTACAGAGTACTAGTTRCAGACGTACTGGGTGTGTGCCTGGTGCAAACAGGGTACATATCAATTACAAACTTCTAGTATAAACTGGGTACTTACTTACTAGGTACCTATCTTGTACAGATACTGGACTCTGACCTGGTGCTTACAGAGTGTGTCTTTGGTATACACTGATTATATATGCAGCACGTACCTGATACTTTCTGGGCATGCACGTATCTGGAGGTATGTATCGTGTGTAACCTGGTAGTTACAGAATATGTATAGGGTATGTACCTTGCATGCAGTTGGTACTTACTGAGAATGTACAGATTATGCACCTTGTATGTACCTGATACTTAACTGGTACTTACAGAGTATATACCTGGTATGTACTCTGTAAATACCAGGTACATATGAGCTACTTATCATGTATGTACCTGATAGTTACAGAATATGTATAAGGTATGTACCTTGTATGCACCTGGTACTTATCAGACACTAAAAATGAAATGTTGGATTTACTTAACCATGTTATGTTACCTGGTTCCACTTAACTGAGTTGAGTAAATTCAAAGCAACATACTCATGTTCTTTGGTTAAAAAAACGGTATATTGCTTTGAATTTACTCAACTCAGTTAAGTGGAACCAGGTAACATAAYATGGTTAAGTAAATCCAACATTTCATTTAGGGTAAGTTCTTGCATGTACCTGGTACTTATYAACATTTCTGGTAGCTACGTACCAGTTACATGCAAGGTACTTATCATGTACATTTCTRGTACTTGAAGAGTATTTACAGGATAAAGCATGCAACTGGTACTAAATGAGTATGTACAGTCTGTACTGTATGTAAGTGATACTTACCTACCCTGTAAGTACCAAGCACATACTGGGCTGTATCATGTGTTACTTATAAAGGTTTGAGGGTATTAAATAAAAAAACGGGGAAGTAAATTATTATGAAAACATAAAGACATTTAGCTGAAATATTTGATGCACAAAGTGTCTGACAGAGTCATAAAATACTGCCTCCAATGTTGTTCTTCTTTTAGGGTCACACACAACTGATGGTCCAAAGGTTTTACATTAAGGAGACAGATGTAGTGCAKGAGGCCAGATAACCAGCAAAACTCTCCATTCCTGAATAACCCACAGGATGATGTCCATTCCAGTAGCTTCTGTCAGCGTCGTCGTCTTCATACTCATTTTTACAAAAATCACCTGCAACCCCCACTGATGTGTGAATGAAGGGAGGCGAGACTTGTGCACAGCCGGTCTGGATGTARTGGTCCTGTAGGACAAAAGCGGTGGTGGTGTCCTCCCTTAACTCTTCCCACAAGTTCTCTGCAGAGACACGAAGAAAGAGCTGCTGAATCATTTAAATATCGCAGTGAAAAGAGCCTTTTGATGGGACACTTTGAGGGGTTTTAAATGGTTTTCTTAAGTGCTCTAATGAGTAAGTATCTTACCTGCAGTAGACAGCAGTCAAAGGGATTTCAGTTTTGAGAATTAGAGAAATGTCGTCATGTTTGAATGATAAAAAGTCAGACTGAGACTTATTCCAGAGCAGATGTTAACCAGTTTGAAAGCAAACCCAAAGCTCCAACCTTTGATAGCAGTTCAGCTGCGTCAACACACCTGCTTTAATTTACTGGTCGTCACCAAGTTTCTGCTGAACTTCATGGCTATGTTCACATTGCAAGCAAATGCGACCCAAATCAGATTTTTTTTTTTTTTTTGCCCCATGCAAACCACATCTGACTGTTTTTGACAGTTTGAACGCGACAAATCCAATTTTTTCAAATCCGACCCAGGCCGTTTCAGCATGTGATACTGAGTTGGATATATATAACTGGTGTTTTTCAAAGTGACTGCAGTCTGAATGGACATGTCCCATTCGATCCGAATTTTTAATCAGTGAGGTGGATGATCGTTAAAGTGTATCTTATCGGAGACAGGTTCAGATAKAAACGCTGAACTAAACAAGCATGTCAAATAATTATTTAATTGGCTCTTATTGAACAACAACTTCAGAGTCGACATGCTAAAAGTAGCATTCATGCTAACTCTGTAAACAAACAGCCAGCTGAATGAGACTGTGAGAGGGTCACATCACTGCCATAGAGTTCACAATGGAGCCAGATGAAGGTCGCATTTAAAATGCAATGTGAACTTTCATGCCCAAAAATAAAATCTAATTTTTTTTTCTTCAAAAAGTCAGAATTGAGCAATACAACCTGCAGTGTGAACATAGCCCATGACTTACCATGGAGGTAATCATTTGAATCAGGTGTATTGGAGCACTCAGCTCTAAAACAGAAAGTGCAGTTTTGAGAGGATTGGGCACCACAAGCATAAAATACCATTAGCCAGGTGGTGCTAACAGCTATATTTAAAACTTAAGTCCCTTCACACAGGTAAGCTGAAAGGCCATGTTTATTTTAACTGAAATGTAACGTTTACTGTAATGTTCTAAAGTTATGTGCGTGTGTGTATATTGTTTTAAGTGGACTAATTACCTTGCTAGGTCACATTCTCACATTTGAAAAGCTTATTAGTATATTGTCAGCATGAGTCACTCCCACTTAAACTGTCGGTTAGTAGGGCGTAGCACTTTTGTTTGTGTTTTTTTTTTTAGCTAGAATTATTTAGGACATTATCGTCCCTTCTGCGGAAGCTGGTAGTAATTATAAAGTATAACATGAGCCATGAATCTGAACCAGTGTGTGTRTTTTACCCAGCAGCTTTGAACTAAACTGAGGTGGTAAAAATTAGACTGAAGTCTTTGCCTTACATTGCAATGTTAATATGTCAGTTTTTACTTACATCTAAAAGGAAATTTTCTAGTTCTCAATATGAAAAAGAGATAAGCTTTGTGAATTTAACTATAAAATCCAATGTCAGATTAGGTCAGCTGAACACATCCTGTTTATGTATTTTTCAGAAWGTTGTTTGCGTGTGACTGCCTTACCTTGCAGCGGCAGGTCAGTTAGACTCGGGTTTAGTGTGTCGATGTCGTAACTGGTGTCTCCCTCCTGCAGTAGGTCCTGCAAGCACCTCGGACCCACACCGAACTCAGTCGGCATGCCGACATTATAAATGTGTGGCCTTTTTCCCGCCACCGGTGAGTTCAGAGATCTGTCGGCTGATGGGAGGCCGGCTGTCGGCTGCTGTCCACAGGGTGAGTACAGAGCGGAGGAGCTGCCGGGCTGAGCAGCTGCAGGAGGAAGGTGGAAGGGTCGCTGAATGTGGGCGTACTGAGAGGACTGAAAGTGCTGGCCTGTGGACCGAGGCTGGGCGGGAGCTAAAGGCGATGAGGTCGGGCTGTACATGGGGCCCCCTCTGGAGCTGTAAGGTGGCAAYGATCTCAGTTTGTCCGGCTTTTCTCCCAGTAGACGATCGAGGTCTYCTGCATTTAAAACAAAAGTGGCATGCAGCTTTGATGACTTTAAACCACAGATTTGATTTCAAATGCGTTAAATGGATTTCCTGTAAAACCTCAGTTTTAACGTCACATTTTTTGGCACTTTTGAACCCACCCGGCCTCGCCATGCTCCTGCGGACAGTCAGGGGGTCTTTGCGACGCCACTTGTGCAGCTCATCCTGCATCTTCTCCACCTTGGCCGGGTTGAGAGCCCAGAGGCAACCTTTGCGGGAAGTGATCCCGTTTTTGTTCTCCACCTTCTCAAAGCACTTGTTCAGGGAGAGGTTGTGCCGCACCGAGTTCTTCCATCCGTCAGGGGCCGTCTGAACACAGAGGGGGGCAGTTTAACGTTAAGTCAATTCTTTTCACACTGGTATGTCATTTTAAAAAATGTTCTATAAAACTGAAAAAGAAACGCAAGCTCTTAATGGGCTAGCCATTAGCCTAGCCTGGGCAAAGATTTTAGCCTCTTTAAGCTGATAAGTATTATCTGACAGAACACTGGACCAGAGGGGATCCAATCCTGGACCTTGAGGGCCACTATCTGCACTGCTCCAACACAGCTGTTTTTAAATGAATATGTGATTAAGGACCTTCTGTAGAACTTGAAGAKGTAAATAAACTCAATATGTTTCAGCTCACTTTGGACCCACTCAGACTGCCTTCAATGCAACTATGCAGCTGAAAATGTTTAATTAAAATATATAGTCATACATTTTTGGAATTTAAAAAAACTCATTGCTTTGCTAAAGTAAATTATAAAGGTTTTTACAAACTACTTACCATCCATCAAGTAACAGAAGGACTGCAATAACCTTCCAGAAATGATTGAAACAATGTAGATTAATCTTTGCCCGTGTCTGTTTTGGCAGGTACGTATTCCTGCGTGCCATAACAAGTGCCCACTGAGCTGATCTGAAGGGAAACATACTTGGCAATATGCAGGGATTTTTTTACGCTCTTTTAATGCATTTAAACATGCATGTGACTTTCTCTGAAGTGGTTCTTTTATCATTTTCTGACCCTGCAGCCCATCTACCAGGCACCTGTTTGGAAATCCGCCATCAATACAGTCATTTCAATAATCAGACACCTTCCTGTGTGTTTAGTCTGTAGCCGGTGGGCTCCCAGGCTGCCTATAAGGTGCCTCCTTGAATATGWATGTTGGGAAATATTTGAGCTCTTTCCAAAAGTCTCTCTGACTTATTTGATTTGCAGTTTGCTGGAATCTTTTCGATTATCAGGGTTCAAACGGAGCTTCAACCCTGCAGCTGCCCTTTTTTAAAATATTAATATTAATGCACCAGGTTATAGATTTATAACACTTTCACATCTGCAAGCCACTTCTTTGACAGAATGGCATGTGTAGCTGTGGCAGGTATTTTTATGGATGTAATTGATATCCGCTTCAACGCAGAAGCCTGGACAAAACCTTTTCGCTACGGGCTACAACTAAGGTGGTGGTGTCTGTATTGGACCAGAAATGCACGTTTTTGTTTTGTGTGTGTGTGTGTGTGTGTGTGTGTGTGTGTGTGTGTGTGTGTGTGTGTTGACAAAACAAAAGGGTTTTTCTCTCATGCTACCACATTTTTTTGACGATCCAAGCATTTGCTTCAATGATTCATATTAAAAACAGATTGTTGTTTACCTTGAAGTAAGGAAAATGTTCTGTCATGAAGCTGTAGATCTCGCTGACAGGCAGACTTCCTGTTTTACTGTTCTTCAGAGCCATAAAGATCAAGATGCTGCAGTGATGAAGAAGATATGCTCACGTTAGTAGGTGGAACTACATCCTCCTCCAGATGATCAGATAATGGAGCGATGTTACCTGTAGGAGTAAATGGGTTTGGGGAAGAGGGACTGTGTGCTGCTCTCCTGACTGTGGTGGGAATAATTAGAGCTGTCAGGCTGGTTCTCTGCAGGATACAGCTTCGATGGCACCTGAGCAGCGCACAGAAAAACCACGAACCGTCAGCTATGTGTTCTTCAACACCCGAGTAGACAAATTGCGACACGCTCAAACATAAATTCAAAACATCTTCCAGTTTTGTGATTTGTGTTCTACTGATGTAGCCCTCTGTGATTCAGCCAGCACACCCAGTTTACCTGCTGCAGAGGGCTCACGGAGCTGTAGGATGGAAAACTTGGAGTCATGGAGCTGTAAGGATCCACGGGTACAGCCGGTGGCTCTGTATACAAACTCTGCAAACACATGGAAATTTTTTTAATTGTTTAGAGAGAACTTGTGTGGCTGAGAATCTTTAAAAACAATTTTAGAAAGATGTTAATGAATGCTAAATAGGTTGTGCTGACTGCTTTATCTTCCTGCTCTGTAGTCTTGTTGCCAGTGTCACTGTTTTCTCTACAAAACAAGACACTCTTAAGCTACAGCTCAGAGTGAACATCAGCTCTGATTTGTTTGGTTCATATGTAATCTAGTCAACAAATGGTATCTGAGTGTCTGGTTTCATGCTGCCTGGCTGTGCTTTATGTTTTGCTTTGGAGCTGAACTGATAAAAAGTCACTGATGAATTGAGGGAATGGAGGTCAGAGTTCACMGAGTTAAACATTGATACAGATTATAACAAGCAGATTTTAAAAAATCTTACAACGTATAACACACATCATAAAGAAGCCCCAAAACATTTTGATATTAGTTTTTGACTTTACTTTATGGAGGACCAAAACCGACATAATTAATATTAAAAGCAAAAGTACATAAATGGCCCAATAAATAAATACTCTTAAAATGCAATAATTAGAACTTTTTTTAATAATTGGTGCATTTTAAGTATATTTATTTATTTATTTATTTATGTATTTTTGCTTTTAATTTTGATTATGTCAGTTTCAGTCCTCCATACTTCAGCCCTTTCTTTTTTTATCTAACCATGCTTCATACAGAATAAAGTCCTCGTTGGGATAAATGGTGTTTCAGAGACCTGGATGCTGCCGTTGTACTGCTCCCACATGGTCGGCACGTCGCTGCTGCACGAGCAGGTGTCGGGGCTGCACACCTCCTGCAGGTCGTTGAAGGAAGAGCTGTTCTGATGAAGGTGGTCCTCGGCCTCCGCTGTGCCATCGCTGAACTGTCGGCGGTACGGGTGGAAGCGGCTGGCGTGGCCCCGTGCCGGTCCTGATCTCGATCTGACGGTCCCATCAGTGCTGTGCCTCCTGCTCAGAGCTGAGGCCCTCAGGCTGAAAGAGTTGCTCTCCTGCTGGGGTGGGAAACAGACGTAACCGCCCCTCTCTTTACAGCATTTATGGTTTTTATTTCAAATTACACTCATTTATGAGATACTAATAAAAAAAATTGTGCTAAAACTGACTTGTTTTTTTTAAAACCAACAATTAAAGAGAATTTTAAGATCGTTTATGTGAACCCTCTGARCTGATACCTTGTAATTTTCTTTTCCTTGGCAGATTAATCCCAGAGATTTGATTTGATGTGACTCACACGCCTACTTACAGAGTACAAGTTCGACACCTTCAATTTGCCTAAAGGGATCATTTTTGAAGTAGGCTTCTTAAACTACTTATGAGAAGTCAGTATCTTACCTGCAGTGGACAGCAGTGAGAGTGATCTCAGTTTGAAGAATCAGTATAACTACTTTTTAAGTTTTCATTATTTTTGATTCATTCATAAACATACGTCAGAATCACAGGTTCAATAAGTAAAACTGGTTGGAAGAACAGTGGTAACAAGAACAACAGTTTCATGCAAATGCTATTTATCATAACTGTGCAGCAGCAATTTATTGTCTAATCTGTTTCAGAAACTCTTCAGCTGTCTGCATAGGCTCAGGTTTAGTTTTCTGCAGACAGAAAGGGCAGATCTGTACCTGAGGTTCCTCCATCTGATGGCTGGTGGTCCCTCGAGCCTCGCAGGCGTGCCCACTGACCCGAGAGTGGGACGTCTGAGACTTGCTGCTGGAGAGGGAAAAGTTGGTGGAGTGGGACATTCTGCACCGAAGTCTGTCACTGTGGAAACATAACGTTTACAGAAGATCAGTGGTTTTGAAAGGAGACAAATAAAAGTTTGTACATTACATACAGTCAGTTTGAATTATGAGAAACAGAAACCTCTAAAATTCACAAACAGACGTGTTTAGTTTGGTGGATTTGAACTAAAAATAAACCGTAACATTTGATTTTTTTTTTTTGTGGAGTTGTGCATTAAATGGAACTTTTAGAATGAACAGTTCAATTTTCTTGCATGTTTGGTGAAAACACTCAGCATTAAACTGCCATTTTACCCCAGGAGTCAGGACGAGGTAACGATCTGCTCGCTGTTGTTCCCAGCGACTGTGGCTAAATGATAACAGCAGTGGTGGGCAGCACTAATCGAAATATTAGTTGTACTAACCCTAAAACCTTAACTCAAATGTTTAGATCCTCTAATTCTAAAGCACTAACACACTGAAAATTTTAGCTAAAGCTAATTCTAAAGCACTAAAATAATCCAGTCAAACCATGAACATTCTTCAGAGTCAACATGAGACAATATTTACTGTGTGCAGAATGTTGTCACTTAGTGCCCTTGGTGGGCCAAATGGGAGTCATATTTGGCCCGCGGGCCTTGAGTTTGACACATGTGACCTTGTAGATAGGTGACACGCATATGAACAAAATGTATGACAACTTTCACCCTCAACTGTGAACAATAATGTTGATCAACAACATTTAAAGACCTTAGTCAGTGCTTTTAAATTTAGCAAGTGCTAATCCACTAATGAATTTAAAAAAGCCCTAAAGCACTAGTCAGGAAATTAGTGCCCTAATTAGTGCTTTAGTGCTTTAGGGGAACTGTGCCCACCGCTGGATATCAGCAATACAAGCTGTCAACATAATGTGAATGTGTTTATAGTATATCATCACTTCTTATGTGCAAGGAGCCATGTTGGATTTAAAGTTTGGTCTGGTGAGAAAAATCCAACATTTTAAGGCAGACGTTAAACTTTGGAGGGCGTTCTAGATGAAGCCGTTAGACTCATGAGGTGTCAACTCTCAGCCTTAAAGTGAAAGTTTCCTAAAATCCACTTAAGTTCAGAAAAACTGAAGTGGTTTATTTGAAAAAATGTTGCCATAGCCATCACAGACTGCAATTCAGATCCTCTGGTATCATATCGTCTGAGTCACTTAAATCTGTGAGACATGCATGGATTGTGCACGAAGACATGAACGAAGGTGGGCGTGCATGTGTCAGGGTCTTCATCTGAGCTGGTGTGAAGAAGAGGACAGTGATTCCAGCCAGAGACACGTGGCTCTGGTTCCAGCAAAGGAAATTTCAAACCTGACAAAAAAAAAAAAAAAAAAAAAACCAAGCTCATTAAATCTGCCAACAAACCATGAGGACTGTCGGGTCACGTAAAGCTGAGCAGTGCTGAGGCAGACAAAGTCAACTCTGATGTAATGTGAGTGTGTGTGTGTGTGTGT